TTCAGCAACTGAAGAATGTGAAAGTAAATTAAAACAAAATATAATTTTACATTAAATAAAAAAGTTTTAAACTTAATTAAAATAAAACATGTCTTAAATTAAAATCAGTAAACTGTCATGTTTATTGCTGCCAAAAAAATAAGTTAAACACATTTGGACAGTGAAGGAATGTCAGGATTCTTGCTCAGAAAAAGGAGCGGATCAACATGCTCTGAAGTCAGAGCATGTTCCAGTCCACGAAAAAATTGTTTGTAACAAAATATCGATTTCTGCTGTCCCTGTATCGATATATTATTAGCAAACAAAATATCACGATACTACACAGTATCGATTTTTTCCCCCACCCCTAGTATCTCATGTCAGATGCCCTCTCTATCATTAGCTATCAGGCATTCATCTTTGTCAATATACTTCGCAACATTTACAGGCTAAAAATAAAGAATTTGAAACGTAAGCCTAAGTTTGTCGGACAGTATTCAAACATCAGATCTGGTTCCGAAGTGAGTGAAGAGTAAACAAGAAACATTTTGTGAAGCACTTTTACACAGGAAAGTAGTTTGTAGGTCCTCACCCTGATCTGAGACAAACGAGGAGGTTTGACAGGAGGCTCTTCATAAGGCCTCTCTGCTAAGGAAGCGATGATGCGTTTCCTGTGACCAAGTAGGCTAATTTTTAGCACCTGTAAAAAAGAAAATTATGAAGTGATCATACTGAGCAGCACATAAGGAAATGCCAGAAAACAACACATCAGGCACCGCTACTTCATTTGTGAGGTTCCCTTAATGGTTCTCCATGTGAAGCTGTTTCTCCTCTGAGTCTCTTCTCTTCTGTTAATCTTGAATCTACATACAGGATTGCACAAGTTCACACGTTCATGCAGCGATACAGTGTCTGACATTACTTCACTGATCTACAGGTGATGGTATTGCACACAGAAATTGAGGAATGCAGCACTGAACAAGAAAACATGTTTCTTTCAGAGACCCTTCCCAGTAGTAGCAAAAGGCAACATATTTTCTCACAGACCAGTGAAGTCTGACGTGCCATCTTCTAACCAAGTAATTTCAGTTCTGTCTTTCAAAGTGAAATTCTCAATTAAATTTTTTGAGTGACACTTTAGAATCCATTTCCCAATATTCAACACAAATACACATTCACCTTCAGTTTTAGCCTCCTGCTTCAGTTTGGGGGGGAACCTGAAGTAAACCGTCAAACTCGTTTCACTATCCTGATTTTTTTTTCCCAAGACACCTGAAGACTAATTTCACCCTCTGATACTCCTCACTGTCCTTGTACATCACTGTGACTCACATTGACAATCTCCAGCTCCCAAAGGTTTCTGACGCAGTCCAGAGTGCGGTAGCCGCTGGACAGGAAGTTTTGCAAGTACTCATGCAGGCCCAGATTCTCCAGCCAGGAGGACAGGGAGTTGCTGCCGTCACAGCCGAGCGCTTTCACCTGCAGCAGAAAACATAATCATTCACAGACACTTTGAGGAATTCAGGGCGTTGGCTGAACCAATATGCTGCAAATTTAGCCAGTTTTCCTTGGGAGAAAATTGAAGGGTTCTGGTTTCAATAACCCCCGCAGATGTATATTTGTATACAAGCAGAATGAGCTAAAGCAATACAAATTAAAGTGACAATACTGCAGAGGTGTTTTAGTTTAATTTTACTTTTATAACAAAAGTAAAGCTCCCAATACAATAAGATAAAGCAAGCCCACCGCCAAACCGCATTCGACTTCATTATTAAGCACTAATGCTCCTGCTTAGCCGTATGCCTAACCCACAAATTAACTTGTTAATTTCCATAAATGCAATAGATACTTGGGTCTAAGGTGAGAATATTACTTGATCATCTAACATTAAAGCAAATGCAAAACACTGAATTGGGTCTGAGAAGTACTAAAGTAGGAATCAATGATTTATCACCTTTGGGAAGGAACGTGCTGCGTGCAGGATCTTCTTTCTGTGGCTCGGATCTGCGATTCCAATCTCTCTCAAGTCCTGGTCCTCCATTACATTGCTCCCCTTTAAAGCAACATACAAAACAAGCATTTTTGTTACTGCCATTTCTATTCTAAGACCCATGAAAGTCATTAGAAAGCAAGGTACATTAAACTGTCAGAATAAAGTAATTTAAGTTACCATTTAGTAAAAGCCAGTTTGGTTTTTTTAACGTAGTTTATTCAAGTTATCTATGAAAATCCCAAAACACAGACTACTTTGATTTAAGATTATATATAATTAAGACGAACCCTCCAAGCTAAAAGCCTTCAGTGCAACGTGAGAATTGATCACAAGTATGCTACCACTGCATAAAAAGGTGAATTACTCCTGATTGAGATCCTCCCTAGAACTCAACTTAGTGACTATCGCCAGAGGAGCCACATCGATAACCCCTTAAATGAGACTTAAGTGTGTGTAAGTGTGTGTGTGTGTAAGTGTGTGTGTGTGTAAGTGTGTGTGTGTGTAAGTGTGTGTGTGTGTGTAAGTGTGTGTGTGTGTAAGTGTGTGTGTGTGTGTGTGGGGGGTGGGGGGGTGTTACGGAGAGGAATGTGGTGATTGATGTTCAAACCAGTCTTTGGTTACACACGATATCACCTTTGGAGACTGAGTGGCAACAAACAGATAATGGAGAAGGGAGGAATGAATCAATGTCTGAGTTGCAGAGTGGTCAGCGTTATGAGATGGAGGCGCATCGATAGCTGACGACAGCCGCGGGGGAAATCAAAACACCTTGACATGTAAAAGGAAAGCCTTTATTTGAACACCGATCATTTATTTTAGTTCCATATTAAACAATTTCATGGTACAACAGACCAAATAAGACCGTAAACAATGTTTCCCACAGATTTAGATTAAAACGATAACAGATTCATAATAAAGCTTCTGGGGTTTTCACACTTAATGTTGCAGCTTTACCGAGCAACATAATCAGCTGCCTCTGAGGTGAACGAACGAACTCCAAGATTACAGCTGATGATTATGTGTCTTGTTTATTAACAATTTCCCTACCCACTGTTAGACCCTGGTTACAGTAGTCTTTTCAGGTCTGAGCATCTGCAGAGGAGAAGAAAGACTACTGTCTTCAACTGCAGTCCAGGAGGGTGGAATAGAACGTGAATATCTCCAAGAAGCAGCTGAATAACTGATAGGACCAAAACAACAACAACCACCCAGCAATTGAACTGGTAGTCAAAACCACGGGATGGCAAGGGCTGGGACTAGCCAGTTAGCAGTGTTTGAAGGAATTGCAGTCAGTTAAACTGAATTAAACTGACTTTTAACCATGCTCAGACTGACCAATAAGAAGTGGGTAAGGGTCACAAGTCCTGCCTGTTGGATATAAACCATGAATGCTAGCTGTAGTGCTTCTGCAGGGGAGTCAGCTAACTGTCATCTGTCAGTATCACTACGGTCCAGAGAAGGCGCTGCCTCAGGGCTCATTTGGCTGACTCTTCAATATGAACCTAAAGTTAATCCTGTAGTGCTCACCGCTGCGCACATGCACACATACACACACCACTAATGGCATAGCAGAGATGCTGTCTGTAGGTCAAACTTGACAGCCTGTTTTTCATGCAGATGCCGTTGATGCAAACGAGGGGCGGAGAGCATGAGGAGCGGGGAGGAGTGAGTCTGTTAGAGTAAATGCTGCAGAGCAATCTTTGTAATGCTGCCTGTGGAATCACAATTCAGCTAAGACACTGACGTAAACTTTTACACTGCCATCCTGTTCATGCTGAAATTTCTAATAGGCTGCGATCCAGCCTGTCGATGGAAATCTGGAGTAGGAAGACGGAAAGCAGAAATATGAGTACCTGAATGCTCCGAGTGAGTTTATTGATCAGAACTCACCATGATCTTGGCTTCAGCCCACACTGAGCACAGGACATTATGTATCATCTCTTTTGCCTTCACACTGCCTCACACGAAACTGACAACTGAAAGCCCATTATCTCTGAGCAGCAACATGCTGATTGCTGCCTCTCTAGCTGAGGACTGATATGGTTTGTGGGGCTGAATGGATGATAATGCTTCAAAGTGTATGGATCATTGCATTACTGTCCCACTGGAGATTAACTGATAAATGTCTCTATGCGGGGGAATACAGCTGTAACAGACTGGGTTTACACTCTCTGCCCATTTCCCGATTTATTCATTTTCCTACCACTCCGATTTTCTGATGTGTCTTCTGCTAATTCTGGCAGATGTGCAGAAATGTTATCTCATCACTTCGAAATCATCCTGTTTATTGGGCTTTACAGACTTTAATATTTGTTTTATGACATCTATCACTGAGGCAAGCTAAGGAAACATCAGCGTTGTGGGTGCTGGAGTCCATCCCAGCCACCATACGGCAAGACCCTGGGTACACCCTGGACAAGTCGCCAGGCTGACACAGGGTTCCTTTGTTCATTTCTTTCAATCTTTTTTTGTCTTTGGATAATTTGATTTCATGTTGAAGTTAACCTGGATAAGCTTAGACATAAATAAATGACTCCCAGTCCCCAGTCCCATGATTAATGGCTTGATGGTTGAATGACAACCTGACTGAAAGCAAATAACTTTGAACACTAATCAACATTTTGCTTCTGGACACACCTCACTGAACCAAACCAAACTGGAGTGAACTGAACACCTGTTAGGTGAAGAATGTTTGTTCACACCTGGTTTAATAAAAATTCTCTTTTCCTTTCATGTAAAGTGTTACATTCACCTCTGCTATATCTGGATAAGCCATTTATCCTCATTCAAAGACTCTGAAAACACAAACAAGCATGATGTGGTGGTGACAACTCTGTGGGGAAATTTCTGGCTAATGTGCTTCCACAGGGTTGGCAGGTTTCAAGGAGTACATTAGTAGAGAGAACGCTAATATCAGCACAACATTTGCAAACAGAATACATTTACAGCAGTGTAAGCTGGGCCTGTTTTGTGCCTGTGCAGCTTGTCCAGCTCTGCTTTACTCCGTCCTCTCATTGAAATGCTGCTCTGTTCCTCCTCGGCCTATCCAGAGAACAGCCACAGAGGCCTCCCTGGTTTAAAAGCACTCTGAATTCAGGCTGGGTGCTCAGGGGCACGGATCACTCATTCTGACCCTCTAAAGGACAGCTACCTAACAGCACTAAGACTCAGTTTGTCCTCCTAAACTGGCTGCCATGAGATCACTCAGACCTCAAAAGAAAAGTGCAAATGAAACGATGACAGAACATTTAAAAAATGTTTCTTTCAAACTAACAAACAAATCTAAGCCAAAAAAAAAAAAAAAAAAAAAAAATCAATCCATTCAGTCCTTTAGCTTCGGATGCAGGAAGCCATTACTGGATTTTTCCGCAGGGTTTGGTCCCTCGCTGCAGCATGAGCCCTTTGCATTTATTAAAAGGCAGAAAAAGCAATGACGACAGACCAAAAAAAACAAAAAACAAAGGGGGGGGGGTCACGAAAACTTCATGAATTTAGATTACATGAATGCAACTCAGAAGTAGAAAAGGTTTGCCTAACCTTGGTGCAACTTTTAGATCTGACCAACTCTTTCTAAAAACAAAAAACAAAAGGCTTTCTCCTTATAAATCCTCAGCCACCTCCACTGATTTGAAACTCAAAGTAAATTTGTTCTCCCTCAGCTGACCGCATAAAAGTCAGATCCAGACGCCCTCGCCAGAAGACCGTCAGTCTCACAGTCGCTTTGAATACAAACGAACTTGCCGACTGTGTCACAGCGCAGAAGTCTAACACAGAGAAAAAAAAAGAGCCATTTCATCTCAACAGGCTTTACTTGTCAGCACCAACGAGCGGTGGAGAACAGCATGATTGCGCAGCGCTTGTTTCATCGGGACATTTGCTCCACGAGTCAATAAAAAGCATCTAAGTGGTTTCAGAAAAAGGTTCGTCTCTGCAACGCTGCTTGAACACAATACATTCACTGCTGTTATTGATCTGCTTCTAGAGCGTGCCTGCAGGGGAGACACAGATCACAGTTGGCCGAGTGGCAGAGTAAACACTGTTTAATTAGTGATCTCGCTGCTACATAGACATACTATTTATTTTTCCAAGTATGCTTAACAACCTAACTTAGAGAAGGACCATTCTCTTACCATTGTTTAAAATTTGATGATGAAGCGTGAACATTTCAATTAAAATACTGGCATCTCGCCCGTCTTTTAGCAGCTCATAGGAAATGCATAAGAGCAATATCATGACTCTGCATCTATTTCTGAGTCTGAAGTGTTTTTAGATTGTTGTTTTGAAAGTTGTACACAGAAGGAGATCAGTGTCTTGAAGATAAAAGTGGATTGGCTGACAGGCATATCTGTACACAGTACTGGCAACTCAGCCAAGAACGAAATATGGCTCGTTTCTGCTCTATTCACTAATGCATAGATTAAACACAATTATAAAAGTTTAGCAAAGGCAAGGTGACTCAGAGGGTAATTCTAATTTCCAATTGAGACTAAATTGTGATTCAAAAAAAAAAAAAAAAAAAAAAGGTCAACATTTGCTGTGGGAAGGAGACGTTTTGTTCAGAGGTAACAGCTTTTTCTCTAAACCCTGCAGCGACTTTAGGAAGCCAGGTGGTTAGTAAGCCATGTTTAAAGATAGAAATGTTGCCAGCTTGCCGCCTTGGAATAAAAAGAAGACTCAAGCCTGAGAAAAAGGAGTGTGAAAGCCTAAAAGACAGTAGGAAGATTAAACCCCGAGAGAAACTTCAGAGGCTTCAACACGTACTTAAACATGGGTGTGGATCACGCTTTCTCCAAGCGGAGAGGCTGATAAGTGGATGAATTCTCTATTCTCGGGTTATGTAAAGTAGAGTAAAAGGTTGTTTATGGGAGAATCAGAGTGCACTTAAATTAGACAGATATAGTTTGATAGCAGCCACACATTTCATTTATTAAACAACTGAAGCTTAATAAACCAAAGAAACACTAAATTTATAATATTTAAGTCTAATTAACAAGCCTTACGTGCAGAGATAAAGAAATAAATATACAGATACTGGCAATCAGTGATGACCTTTATCTGGCGTTAGACCAGACAGTGATCTTCTAGTTTTCTATTGTCTAATTCTGGTCAGGTTGTGTTAATCATTGCTTCAGTTTGCGGTTTTTTGTTGACAGTAGTGGCACCTTGTGTGGTCTTCTGCAGTTCAGAGATGCTCTTCTGCATACATTGGTTGTAACAAGCGGTTACTGGAGTTCCTTCCAAGTTGCCTTCCAGTGAGCTTGAGGCAACAAGACATTTTCACCCAGAGATGTGGATATTTTCACATTTTCAGATCATTCTTTGTAAAACCCTAGAAATAATTTTGTAGTAAAATCCTCAGTCCAGGCTGTCTGACACCAACAGCCATTTAAATCCCCGTTCCTTTCCATCCTGACGCTCCATTCAAACTTCAGAAGGTCATCCTGACCGTGTCTGCATGCCTAAATGCATCGCGTTACTACAAACCCAATTAGATTGAACACCTGATTAGTATACATCATTAGCATACCAAATGAAGTTGCCTATATATCGGCTTTATTATATCCAGTTT